CAAAGGCTCTTGGTGGAGGGAAGGTCCGGCTAATCGATTGGGGGCTTAGGGTTTAGAGCTTTTTGAACTGCACTGAGGGTTTAGGGTTTAGGGTTTAGATTTTTGAAATACTTGCAGGTGGTTTGTGGGACAGAAAGGCATGGAAATACTGGCTGAACCCTAAACCCTAAAGTCGACTTCCACTCACCGGCCTCGGCGCAACTACTGGGGATGCGGCTGCTGCACGGCCCCAGTCGCAACAATATGAATACGAGTGTCCTAGGAGTGCTCTAACTGGCCATCGCAATACTAGAGGTATTGAGAGTATTCATCGTAAAAACAGTGGTAAAATACAGCCTTATTATAAGCCCTAAACCCTAATATTAAGTGTAGCAATGCAAAAAAAGGGCCGGACCGCACGACCTCAAAGAAGGAGCCTACGTAAGGAAGCCTGGGCTTCACATCTCCGGGCGTGTGTTGGGCGTGTGGGTAAACGGACTTAAACTCATAGTGGGAGTAACACCCATGTAACGCAAACAAATGCCCCGACAACACTTGTGAGAAGTTCGAGTGCACCGAGTAGCACTAGAATGAACAGAACTTCCCCGTGTCGTGTCTCACTCCTTGTCTGATAGAGAGGGCAACTTCACCTTCTTCAGGGCGTACACCTCTCGCAGGAGCCGTTGGCCCGGGGGCGGAATATATAGCAGGGGTCCTCCTGCATGGGAGCTGTTGTGCTTTGGGGCTCCCACCGATGTGCCCAGCCTATTATTTCTTCTACTGGTTCACTCAACTACAACAAGGACCTTGAAAGCATTCATCATCAAGAAAAACCCATTCAAAGCCCAAAATATGTCATGCCTGCAACAGAAGCAGAGACAATAACCTCGGGTGTTCACTCACGCTAAACCCTAAGCCCTAAATTTGGCCCTAAAACCTGTAGTAAACCCTAAACCAGAAATGGTAAGCAAGGCCTCATTGTCTGCCAGACGTAAGACCTGCCGGCTGAGGGCTTAATATAGGGGCCTTGAAGATTTGTTGGGGCTGCTTTTATAGATACTTTTCATAAGGAGCCTCAGGAATAATATTGATAATGAGTTAGGCTTCTAGGTTAGGGTGCCTAGGAGTTGCAGGAGTCTCGAGTCTGGATTTGCATTGTGGGGTTTGGTGCTTATGGAGCGATTTGGACACCGGCAAACTCGGTGAGCTTCAAATTTGGGACAAGGTCATCACGAAATCACCTTTTCGATGGCTAACTTGCTGGCCGTGCCTGCCATGACAGTTCAGCGGTCAAAACGATGCACTGCGACGGGACGCAAATGACTTTATCCCATGAGCTGACCAGCTCTGCAGCTGGTCAGCTTCCTGTAAGAAGCACAGGCGATTCGTTATCTCAACTTACCCTAATGCCCTTATAAACCTAGAAAGCCTAGCACTTAAAGCTGGCGTAACACAAACCAAGACCGCCTGCGACCACATGCCGACACTATATTTAAGCTGTATCTGGTCGTATCTCCACCCACAAAAGGAAACTCGGGGAAGCTCTCCTTCGTAGCTATAAATCATAAACCCAATTCATTATGACAGGGCCGAGCCAGAAACCCGGTTGACCAAGAAACCGAACTGAGTTGGAGCGTACAACTGCGACCCGTTTGGTCTGTAGTTCCGCGCAATACCCTAGAGTCTGGCATTATTCCAATAAAAAATGCGCTTTCCTTTTGCGTAGAATGTTTCGACTTGTTCTTGGTGCCCTATGCAAGTCTAGCAGAAAAACCACTTCAGCAAACTGCCCGTTCCCGTGCTAGGTTGTTCATTCGTTCGGAATGCTAGGCGCTTTGCAGTTCCGATAAACCACTGTAGCATGTAATCTTGCGCTCACAAAGCTTTGACTGCTGGGCTGCCAGACCTCTATGCAAAGTTGAGTTCCGCGGTTGTAGATTTGCGGCATTTGCGGGCCCGGGGAGGAAAACAAAAACAACCAACAATCCGAACCAATAACTTCGTGCTCAATGGAAGAAGCCTGCCTCCTGGACAACCCTCACGAAACTCTGCTAAAATCCACTCCCGACGCAGGTGTGCGGCTTTGCTGTGCTGCCTTGTAGACGGCAGAATATGCGCCCTCACCCAACAGTGCCAGCCTCCGTGCCAACAGCAGGATTTCAATAGTTTTTGTGGGGCCTACGAGTACTTGGCGGTCACGCCTGTATAGCTGGGCACGTATCTATTCACGGGTCTTAGCTGTCTCGCTCCCCCTTGCCTGTCATCTCTCGCCGCTTGGCTCTACGCGTCTCTCTCCGAGCCTCTAATGTAGGCGCCTAAATAATTACTAATACTATTTGGGGCTGCGTCTGATAATTATAGTACAATGGCCCCCAAAACCCTATTCTAATCATTAAGGCCCCTATATTAATTTTTTGCCCCTTTGGGGTTCCAAGTTCTTGAGGGCTCCGGGACAGGAGCTCAAGCCCTGAACGGTACTACGAACCAAGGAGTTCGCAAACATCCCGGGAGTTCGAAACCTACCTTATCAAAGCCACGGGAGTCAACATAAGAGCGCAAACTGCTGGACCAGGCTTTGCAGATGCATCATGGTACATTCTTGATATGGACTCATAACTTGAAATTCCGGTGTTCACGCTCGCACAAAACAAACACGGGTCTGAATTACGGCTTAGGGCGGATTGAACGCCGCTCTGTCTTTCGGCTGATGTTCCTAGTTTGGTGGGCTTACTAGTTGGAAGGATTCGGAGGCAATAGTACTATAGTTCTTCCGACCCCACAATTGCATCCCGAACCCGCCAAAGGTATCCTGCAATAATAATCCTGTATATTCACTACTCCGACCCCAAGCCCCAAACCCAAAACCTAAACCTCTCTGTTTCTCTCCCTCTCACCAAACCCTAAACCCTAAACCCTAAACCCTAAACCCCTAAACCCTAAACCCCAAAACCCTAAGCCCTGAAACCCTCAACCCCACAGAGACCTTTCGATGGGCGAGGGGCTGCTTGAAGTCTGCCAGACCCGAGGAGCCTCCCGAGTATCCCAACCTCAGAAGTCTCTCGGGCATAGTATAGTATAGTCCAAAATAGTGTAGCATAGTATAACACAGTATAGTATAGTAGAGCATAGCATAAAATAGTATAGTATAGTATAATCTAGTATAGTATACAGTATATAGTATAGAGTATATAGTATATAGTTATACAGTATATAGTATATAGTATACATACAGTATATAGTATAGAGTATATAGAACATAGTATACAGTATATAATCTAAAGTATAAAGTGTTTCGTATATAGTATAGTATTGCATAAAATAGTTTAGTATAGTATAGTATACTATAGTATGCTATACTACAGTATAGTATACAGTACAGTGAAGTACAGTATAGTATAGTATAAAAAGAAAAGTATGAACTAGTTAAGCTTCACAGTTTAGAGTCGAATATAGAGCAGAGCAGAGTATAGCATGGTGTCGCAGAAGACTCTTCGGGTTTTCAGGGATTTGGGTTTGGGGTTCAAGGCTTCGTGATTATGAAGTAACGCTTGAGACCGTCTGAGCAGATTTCGCAGGGGTTGCTGGGGCAGGAACTGGCACAGAGGAGTTGTTAGAGTTAGAGTAGTTTGAAAAACGGCTGGGTTTCTCTTCAATCTCTCGGGTATAGTAGAGAATGGTGTAGTATCTCCGAATTCCTCTCGTACCACAGGAGCCTTGGAACTTGAAACACGAAGACTCGTGGGGAACAGGACAGCGCCTTGGTGGATCTCGGAAACTCGAAGCTGGCGAAGACCAGAGTGAGGCTAGCGAGATGGGAGTTGCAAAACGTAGGGAAGGGGGCGGGGTCGTATAGAACGGCAACTAGATATTGCCATTTAAGGCTCCCTGAATACGGCACTCCTCACTGTCAGAAACTCCGTTTACCAACCCTCACAAGGACCTGGGCGATCACGATTCTAAAGCCTAAACCCATAACATATGCACAGCCGCGGCCCTAAAGGCATCCCTGCGCAGGTACATCTTCACTTGGTTGGGTTGAGGTTCAAACCTTGTCGGGCCTCCGGGTTCTTGAGCCTGCATGCTGACTGCGCACGTCAGGCTGCATATACAGGCTTAGGGTTTAGGGTCTTATCGGGCTTCCATGCAATCTTCAACCTGAAGGCGTCTGGATCAATTCAAGGCCAGCAGCCGCTCTGATCGTATCATGCCGGGCGATCCGCCCCCTCTGTGCCAACACGGCCGCGCCGGAGCAAAGACAATCTCAAACAAGCCGAATACACATTATGTTACTTATCCAAGAGCAGCAGGGGAAACCTGAACTCCCAGAGTTATTTAGGATGAGATGCTAGCATGGCATGGTTACGAGAATAGGAGACTCCATCGAAAGCCTCGAGCTGAACAAAGACCAAGCCAATGCCAGCAGTTGCTACAATGAAATTTCCTTCCCAGTTCCCCTATCCAAAACAGGCTCCAACAAAAGGATAACAGCGGGCGGTCAGGGCTGAACAAGGTTCGAAAAAAGACGGCGGAAGCTTTACGAATGGCATCCTGAAGGCCGGGGCAAGCCTTGAAGAATGGGCGAAAAGACATACCGGAACTGTCCAGAACCTGTCTATCAGAGGCTTCTGTTGAAATCAAGCCTATGTCGGTGCAGCAGGAGGGACAAGTTACCGATGATGCGGCTAGTAAGACCGAGCTGCAAGAATTTCGGCAATGGCTGAGCTAACACTTGCTGGTTGTCGGTATAATCGCCCTCCTCACCCACACTACATTGTCAGCACCTCCGTCATATGCGGTCATGATGAACTTCATTGGGGTTACCATTGCCCGACCACGTGTCGCCCCTCACAAGTTTACACTGTTGCAACTATTTCTTTGGGCATTGCAAGCAGTGCAAGCCATGATGCGCGTCGTGGATTTGGGTCGATGCGGAAAGCTTGCGGCACTTCCATCAGGATCCCTATTGAAAAGTGGCAAAAGCTAGGAATCAACCATTCCTTCGGAACGGCAGTCAGGCTAGGCTATGCCCTGCCATACGCTGCATCGACCTCGAATTGCTCCTGGCGCTTTTCGTTCTCCATCACGATGTCCCTGTCCTTAGTCGTGGTATGCCCAGCCAGGGCACAGCAAGAAACAGGCGAACGTACAGTCAACGACTGGTGTTGTGCGTTTTCTGTCCGCCAAGGAGCCATCCGGAACAAATAGTCGGAGATACGAGTCCCAACATCTGAGAGCTCGAGCAACTCCTCAAGCAGTCGGCCACAAAGCTGCGATAGCCTAAATTCTAGGCCCTAGATCGTTAGCACTAAAGCTCAAACCCGATTCAATCATTCAAACTTCTACATACTTTTGAGTTCCAGGTATAGCTTTGGTCATCTCCCTTGTAGTAAAAACCGCAACCCCCTAAGGGTCCATGTACCCAAATAGTATATACATGGGCACATGGACCCTTAGGGACCACCCAGAACCACCAATTCCGCCCAAACACGTCCAACCCGTTTTTGGGTAGCAGGCCTCGCAGTCCAGCACATGGCCAACCCTTTTTACGTCAGGCTTGCATGTCGGTTTAGGGTTTAGGGTTTAGGTTTAGGGTAGAGTCCAAGCCTAAACCATAAAGCCTTACGCCAAAAAGATTCGAAATATCAAAAGTTATCCATCCCGGCCTGGACCACTTTCTCGGTGCCGATTAGAACTTCACCTGAAGCAAAACTAGGTTTAGGACTTGGGGGTGCGTTTTGCCTCATACTTCAAGGGCACCCTTTAGGGACATAAGGGTTTAGGGTTTAGGATGCTCAAAGTTCAGGGTTGAAACACGAAAGTGTAAGCATACCCGCAACCTTCGGGCCCGGCAACTTACAACCGTCTCTCTCTCTCTCTCTCTGACTCGTGTGTGCCAGATGCAAAACAGCAAAACAGGCGAACAAACACCCTGACAGGAAAGGCTTAAGATGCGCGAACTGCAGCATCAAGCATCATGACTTTGGTAGATCCTAGACCCCAATCCCTTTTCATCTCCATTTCCCAGATGCTGCTGCCTTCAAGAACCCTGAGTAACTTCGCTCCGTCGGGGATCTGTGCCATGACCAGGAAAAACGCCTGCAGATGCACATGCTACTGCTGATGGACCGAATCCTTACTTATATCATACTTATATCCCTAAGGAGCACGAAACATAATTCCGATAGGTAATTCAGGTAATGTAGCAAGAGGCCACGAGCAGTGAAGCAAGGGCGATGTACGTGTTGGGGTGCAGGGCTCGTAGAAAGGTGAAAACCTGCAAAGGCTGCATGCGCATGATGTGCTAACAACATGTGCCCGCACCTTCTGGTATTTTCAGCCGGGTTTGCAACTTGTGGCGGGTATGGCTCGACATACTCGTTGAGAGCTCCGGAAGGGATTATACAGTTTGCGATTTCGGCCGCTGCATGGAACTCTACTTGTCGAGGACCAGGTTGACTAGGGGTTTTGGAGGCGCAATCAACCCGGACCAACGCAAATGCTGTCGTGCTTTCTTCGGAACAAACAATCGACACGCGATCGGAAGGCACACATGGCGAATATAATATGAAACAGGGCTTTGGGGTCGAGTGTTGCATCATGGCCAAAACATTACTAGCGTGGTCCGCTGATTTTTGAAGTCTATCGATCGCAGAATCCCGCCTTTGCACCCCAAACAGACACGATCGAAACTTGCATCTCTGGCTTCTGGCCTGGCGCTGTATGAAGCCATGGTGATCCTGCAGCGTCCTGGTTTCATGACTCCGCTTCCATTTGGGAGAGCCACGTTTCACCCAGGGTGTGCATCGAACTATGCGTTTTTTCGACACCATTGGACCCGCCCGTGCAAGCATGTCGACATGGCTTCAAAGATTACACCGCCTGCTTCTTTCTCTCTCGCTCTCTCTGTCGCTCTCTGTCTCTCTATTTCTCTCTCTTTTCTCTCTCTCTCTCTCTCTCCCTCTGTCCCTCTCGCTCTCTCCCCTGTACCCCCTACCTACCTGCCTGCCTAGCTACCTACTCCTGGAGGACCATACCCGGACTGCATGCTTTGGCCGTGTCCGCTCCTGGAATACGCCACGCGCACAGCGTCCGTTGTCTCGTGGCCATCTGCCTGAAGGCCGAACCTGAAGAACAGGCTCGGCTTAGGGTTTAGGGATTTTTCCTTTTAGGGTATATAGGGCTATTGGGTTCAGGGACTTTAGGGTCTAGGGTTCAAGTTTTAAGCACAGGCTCGACTTAGGGTTTAGGGATTTTAGGGTTTAGGATTCCAGTTTTAGTCTCAGGTTTTCCGGAGAAGGGGACGCAAGCGTTGGGAATGCAAGGCATAATCTATCAGAGTCTACTGACATCTCTTCCTTGCGCGATACAGTAACTGATTAAGCGCCAGGCACCTTGGACAAGCATCGGCAAAACCGCAAACCCGAGTTACAAGCTAACCGCAACTCAATACCGGAATCCCGAAACCTTATACCTAAACCCTAAACCCTATAACCTACATAAACCCTAAACCCTAAACCCCCGACAGCTTCAGGGTGGGTCGAGCCACATCTCCGCAAAGAAGCGCAGATTCCTCCCAGACGTGGCTCAATGCGGTCTTCGGGTTTTGGGCTCTTTGGATTAAAGGGTTTAGGATTTCAGTTCCTAAGATTCAAGGTTTAGGGTTGGGCGTAGTCGAGATAATAGAACCAGGCTGTACGATGTTGCTGAGACCCGCAATTCTGAATTGTACTGTATGTGATCCGCGTGGGGTGCACCAGTGTGATAGAGAGGACAGAATAACTACTGAAAGTATTCTTTTCTATAGCTCTAAGTATATTAAGAAATCCCCAACACCCTACTCTAGGTTTGAAAATTTGAAAACCCGTATATAGCAGCATACGACAACCTTACCACCATGCTGTCAAAGCGCTGTAGCAACCCCATTCTAATTACAAAGACCCCTATATATCATAGAACCCTTACCTATAGCACACTACGCGTAATCCGCCCAGGAAACCGTGAAACAACACCTATCAGTCTAGTTTATATCGCAGAACCTTTAGAGCAATGCTTCTCGAACCCTTGTTAAAGAACCTTACAGCAAGCTTATCCCTAAACCCTCCTAAACCCTGAATATTCCGCTGCCGGTACGGTAAGGAGGACGCCAGCTCACCGATCTTTAGGGTTTAGGGCATAGGCGCGTGGGCTTAGGGTTTTATTTTCTTGTTTTAGGGTTTAGGGTTTGCAGGGTTTAGGGGTTCGGCTGGTCGGGGCGAAGAAAAAATGCTGTAAGAGATTAGAAGAAAAGGCCGGCTGGTTTGTTTGCCCACCAACGGACCGGTTTATGCTTTAGGCTTTCGGGGGCTTTTTGTGGGCAAGTTCGGAGTCTACATTCGATTTAGGGGGATACCTGCATAATTCAAGGGTCCTAGACTCCTAGACTGTTCAACTTTCTAGCCTAAACCCTAAACCCTAAATCCCTAAACCCTAAACCCCTAACCCTAAACCCTAAACCCTTTCTAGCCTAGCCCGGCCTGGCCACCCACAGATTTGCCATGGCTGCCGACTCGTCAGCGTACTCCTGCATGCGCATACAGCAACTGATTTTGAGTTCCCGTATACAGCCCTAGAGCTTGAGTTGTTGTTTAGCTCACTTTGAGCACCTGGGAACAGAGGTTGAGGGTCAAGCTTCATGATTCGCTTCAGCCTCCGAAAATCCCTAGGGGAGCGATCGAGGTACTGCTGGCAGTCTCGAGCCGTAGCTATTCGGGTTGGGGCGCATGGGGTTTACGCACTCGCAAATCGGACATGCGAGATGAAGTCTCACGGTTCGCAGTCGGACTACAAAGGCTTGCGGGTTAGGTGAGCGAAGGCAAAATCACCGTTCTGCACGCCAATCAGCACATAGACGCAAAGCCACCCAGGTACAGCAGACATTGCTACTGTGATCAGTCGCATCTGCAGGAAATCGAGGTCACTAAAATCATCGAAAACACAAGCACCTTTGATTGTGCGTTTTGTCACTTAAGGCTTGGATTTAGGGTTTATAGGGCTCAGGGGTCTGGGTACGCCTCAGCAGCCTATAGGCGTCCACCAAAGAGCATAAATCACACAACCGGGATTCTGAACACGAGTCCCGAATCGAAACCACATGTCATGAAGCAACTGAGACGCAAAAAGCAAGCTTGATACTTGATAGCTTAGAATGACTCAAACCTTAAACCCTGTTGTATGAGAGTATCGTAGGCTGAAGAGTTCGCAGTATCCCCTCGTTCTCTCTCTCTCTCTCTCTCTCTTTCTCTCGCTCTATAGATAGATAGATAGATAGATAGATAGATAGTATGTAGATAAAAAACGATACCGTAATCTACACCCACAACACTATTTGCTGTTACGACTACTGTTTCGACTATACTACTACGATTACGAGGCAAGAATACGATTAACTCCTCTTACCATTACTCTTTCACTCGTTTACTCGCTACGATTTCTCTTCGTCTTCTTTTTTCGCCATTATTCTTTCTGGCCCGCGATACCCCTAGCGGAGCTTCGAAATTCCGACTCCTTGTAGCCGCTTTCAGCGTGCACAGGGATCTCGTTCTGAAGCCATTCCCGGTAGCTCGCCTCACAAGGAGGGGTCGAAGCATTTAGGGCATCTAGGGGCACCCTAAACACTGAACCCTAAGCCGCCAGATTCTAAAGCCCAAAACCTAAACCGCAAACGCTGAACCCTATACCCCCAATTCTAAACCCTAAAACCATAAACCCCCACTTCTAAACCCTAAAACCCTAAACGAAAAGAGCTGCAGACTCAGAGAGTCCCTTTTCCGCTCCTGCCTTCCCGTACTTCGCCATGGAGCGACGCAACTTCTCTAAATCCGTCGTGAGCAGATCGTTCCTTAGTGGGAGGGTTTGGGTTTTTGAGAGTTTTATTTGACACTCACACTCGGAGAAAGCCTGGCAAGGTCTGCAGCGATTTGGTTCGGCACAGTCAGCTTCCGAACGCAGGCTCGGGGCTCGGGATTCCCGAGGAAAAGTCCACCGCGAAGGTCAAGATTACTACGCTCTCAGGAGCTGAAAGACTCAAGGCATCAAAAGTCAAAACTCGAGACTCAGAAAGCTGTGCCTGCCAGTCCCTTGTGGTCGCCGTAGGACTCCATGCGGGCCTTCTTGGCAGCCGGCATGTTCCCGCCCTCCCTGTCTGCGAAGCGGGTCGCAAGGCCGTCGCAGTTGATGCCGGTCATGGCTTCGCCGATGTCCTCGGAAACCTCTGCGATGACCTGTGGGTCGTTGAAGTGCGTCACGGCCTTCACGATCGCTTTGGCGCGCTTCGCGGGGTCTTCGGACTTAAAGATGCCGCTGCCCACGAAGACACCGTCCACCCCCAGCTGCATGCAGAGAGCTGCGTCGGCCGGTGTGGCGACGCCACCGGCTGCAAAGTTCACCACTGGGAGCTTCCCAGTCTTCTTGACGTGCTGCACGAGTTCAATGGGGGCGCCGATCTCCTTGGCGTAGGTGAAGAGCTCGTCCTCGTCCATCATCTGCACCATGCGCATCTCCTTGTGCAGCGTTCGGATGTGCCTCACAGCCTCGACGACATCGCCGGTGCCGGCCTCGCCCTTCGTGCGGATCATGCTGGCTCCCTCGGCCACGCGGCGCAAGGCCTCGCCAAGGTTGCGGCAGCCGCACACGAAAGGAACCTTGAACTTGGTCTTGTTGACGTGGTTGCCCTCATCTGCGACGGTCAAGACTTCGCTCTCATCGATGCAGTCAACACCGATCTGCTGCAGGACCTGCGACTCCACAAAGTGGCCAATCCTGCACTTGGCCATCACCGGGATGGACACCTGGGGTGTAGTGTTGGGGCCCTGAAAAGTATTTCTGAATAGGTATCTCTATAGAAACCATAAAGGAAATTTTAAAGTTTCCCAAATTGCCACCTAGACACTGAATTGACGATCTCCTTGATCATCTTGGGATCCGACATCCGAGCCACGCCCTTGCTTTGGCGAATGTCCGCGGGGATTCGCTCCAGGGCCATGACGGCACACGCGCCGGCCTCCTCTGCGATCTTGGCCTGCTCCTTGTTCATGACATCCATGATGACGCCGCCTTTGAGCATGGCCGGCAGGCCCTTCTTCACCCTGTCCGTGCCCTCGGCCACGTTGCGCTTTGCTTCGGCCATGATTGGTGTTTCGGGAGTGGTAGAAACAGCAGAACGCAGAGGTCAGGGCGGGGCAGGAGCCACACTACTTAAGCCAAAATGGCTACGGTTTAGGGTTTGGAGTTTGGAGATGCTCTGAGACTCTTGAGATGGCAGCGAAACTTCTCGAGGGCTTAGGGTTGAGGCTTCAGACTTTAAAGCCGGCATAGATGCTGCCACAGTTCGACGGGCCTTCTGCGCTGCACAGACATACCGCTACGGCTGCAAAGGTCTACGAAACCTATGGGAGTAAGGTCGAAGGCTGCCGGTCGGAGGGCTTTGGGATGCAAGACGGCCTAGTGCCTAGACTACCTGTCATTCTACTAGTTGCTGCTGTTTATGGGCTTGGGGTTCGTATTCTATGTTCGTAACGTGGAGGCTTCTCTATACAGAAATCTCATGATGTCCGTCTACAACCCTCGCCAAAATCGCAGGATGAACTCCAGGTAAGTCCTGTAGAAAACACCTGAAGAGACTTGTGTGAACCTGTGAAACCCCTACACCGATGTTGACAGCGACATTGATAGAACACTACCTTGCGGGCCCTAAGAAGCACCCGATGCGACGCCCCAAGCCCAGATTCTTGCGGTTGTACATAGACACATGCTTGGAGAGGACTTGGGATTCAGCGATTCGCGTTTTGGGGCCTCGGCGCTTTAACTCGGACGCATGGGGAAGGCAAAGTACTGTATACATTTGGCAATATATTATGGTTTATATTGGCGTATCTTCTACAGTATACTGATATTGTCGTACGTTATGCTTACATTATATTCGTAATTTCGTATATGTTGCACCAGGTCAGAACGGCAGTGACGCTGGGCGAGCAGAACCTTTGCCAAATACCAACAAGGTGCCAATATCATGCTCGCAGACTAAAGGGGCCTTAAGAATTAGACTAGGATTCCCCCCCGAGGGTTTCCGGGAAGGTTTATTACAAGGTTTAACATCAGTTTTTCGTGTAGGGGTCTTCAAAATTAGAACAAGGTTTTATGGGGATTGTAAACTAGAGAATACTGTTGCAAATGCTACTTAAGCCGACCCCTATCTAACTTTGTCCCAGACGCAACCAATAACGTGGGTCAGAATCCATCCCGGACTATAGACTATAGATCTAGTCCGGCCAGTCATTTGCGTCTGGACTCAGAGCTTCGAGTTGATTTCATGCAGGGTTTAGGGGTCATATGCGTCAGCATTCACGGGTTTCCCCCCCTTACCCACCGCCCCTGTGGAGCGACACTTCGTCTCCTTCCGAAACCCTAAACCCTAAACCTTAAACCCTAAACCCTAAACCGTAAGAGGCGCGCCAAGGCTGGCATGGTTCAGGGCTGACTCCGGGGGGGTGGGGGAAGGGGAAGGGGAACTGGGAGCGCAAGCACTATTATAGGCCGGGGTTTATATACGAATAACACAGGGGTCCAGGGTTTAGGGGTTTTTAGAGCCCATCACCCGATAAAACGGACTTAGAGCTTTAGGCTTTGGGCTGTCTCGATGCTCAAGATCATTCCCTCGGGCTCCAAATAGCCCAAAGTAGGCATTATTTATAGACTTTAGACCCCAAAGTAGGTACTATTTGTTTGCTTGGAGCCCTAGGGATTGGGTCGAGTTTTAGATTCTGGCGCTCTTGGGTCCGAACTCGTCAACCTTGGGTCTTGGTTCAACTTCATGGCAAATACCAGGAAAGTTTCCAGGTGGCTGCAATGAACCTCATGTTTCCATCTGATGTCCAGTAAGTTTTGACCCGGAACCCAATGCCGAGTCACAGAACGCTGCAGTATTTACACTCAAAGCCTGCGACAGTCCCAAACCCCCTTCCCTAAACCCTAAACCCCAAGAGAACACGAAATCATAGCCACGGCTCACATGCCAACCCACCAGCTCCAGCACCAAAGTAAAGGCTTGCCTCGATCGGCGAGGGCTTGAGAGCTGTCGTTTTGAATTGAGGAAATTCCCTAATGTAGGGGCCTTAATAATTAGACTAGAGTTTTGGGGTCCATAGTAGTATATTCATAATAAGGAAACCCCGAAACAGTGTTGGTAATTATTGAGGCCCCTATGTTGAAGCCTTTATTGAGGAGGGTCTGCGGTGCATATGCCCTCATGGCCAGCCTGCTGCACTTCCAAGCCCCACTGCAAAACCCTGAACCCCCAAGCCCTTTTTTTGAGCAGGGACTGCAATGCACTAAGCCCTGAACCCCCAAGCCCTACACCTAAGATCTTCTACCCAATTTCTACTTTTCAGGGTTTGGATGTCTTTTTGTGGTATAACTGGGCTACGGCCATCATTGGGCGAGGTTTAGGAGGGCAGACAGGGTTCCTGTTTCATCAAGCTGAATGCGGGCCGTTCGGTTGCGAGAACATTCATTGGTTGCAGTCGTTAAGTCCTGTCTGCAGCATGGGCGGGACTGAACCAACAACATCTGCAAAGAAATGGAAGCCTACTGGATTTCTAATTGTCGGTTCGCTGTGGCAGCCGAGCTGCAAGCCTTCCAAGAAATCTTCACTTAGGAGGTCTGTCACCTGCTGCTCTGTATCCAGCATCGCTGCTTTCTTGAGCTGCACGATGACCTGGGGCAAAAGTGATACCCTGTGTTGCTGTATGGATACCCGTATGCCTTGGCACCGGGGAAGCTACGCAATTTGACAGCCCGTTCCCCAAGGCCTCTAATTAGAAGCGATTCCAAGATAGAGCAACTCCTCCCCAAAGCAAACTCGAAGCAGTTCCGTCAAAGTCTCAGCTTCTTCGGATGCACAAGACAGCAACATACATGACAAGCAAGGTGGTCTATAGGGTCGTGTGCGAGCTGGGACGCTGCTTCAACTTCCCGTCTGCACAAACATCAGGTTACTACGGGTTGCGCAGCTGCAAGGTTTGGATGGCGGGTGGCACAAGTACCCAGAAGTGGCACGGCAATCAAGAATTTCAACCCCCGTCTTTCATGCTACGACGCTGAACATGACTCACCATGCCTGTAGCAGCCCCAGAAATTGCGTTGCCCTGCTCACTGCAACCCCTGGCTCGTTCTGTAGGTCCTGGACTTGGGCACCCGGCGGGTCTGAGTACTCCGTGCGTGCTCATGCCCAGAATCGCTCGTTCCGCTGGTCTCGCAGTCTCGTGATCCTTTTCTTTCGACTTCTAGAAACTCTAGAAATTGAACCGAAGTGTTGTTCAATCGGCTCGGCAGGGCTCGAAGGCACTGAGGATCTCACAACAAAAATCTCGGTTTCTTCGTCGCGAGGAACGGAAAACTGCCTACAACACATTGCTTCCTCTGGCCAAGTCTCCCAGTGGCCATAGCTGTCGGGAGGCCCATCAAAGGACCACATGTGGATGCCCTGGAAATCTTGCCTCGCAGAGCCCGAAGCCCTTAGGGACACCCAAACCATAAACTAACCGACCCCAGGGCAGAAGCCTAAACCCATGAACCCTAAACACCACACCTGTACCTTAAGAACCCCAAAAAAAAACAACTTTTTTGTAGGTTCTTATTATAAACCCTAATATGGGATTTATCGGGACCCTACAAAAAAGTAGGTTTTGGGTTCTTGAGGTAGACCCTAAATCCGAAATCGTGCCTTGCACAGAGCACGAAGGCTTGATTCCCGCGGGAGCGCAGGCAGTTGCTGCTGTCAACCCACTGCCTTGTTCTAACCATGTCCAGGGGTTGCTGTTTAGGCTTTAAGGGGCTTAGGGTTTAGGG